TGAAAGGTTTGCTTTGTTGATCCCATCATAGCCATGGTCTTGAGAGAGCCTAAACAATCAAACAAGTAAGAATTTATTAGCATTTTTTTAGCAATTTTGTTGGCAATTAAGTAGTCAATGTCTCTGCTCTCTGTGGTCTAAAAAGTCTTTTTGGGTTTATATGGAAGAGTATTTTTGGGAGGCTGTGTCAACTCATAAAAACAAAAGCAAGTGAATGTAGAAAGGCTAAGAGAATGCCATTGAATCTGATCAAACTAGATATCATAAGTAAAGCAAATTGGCTGTAATTTTTAACATGTTTGATTCAATCTTAATCAAACTTTAGGTGCCTCATTTTTGCCAATTCTATAGCACGGCAAGATTGATCCTAATATGGCATTAGCTCGAATGATAAGAGTAAGATGAGATTTGGATTCGAATCCTTTTAAGAATGAAGAACTAATAATTTATACAAAAAATGAAAGAATTATATAGTAAATATAAACAAATAGATTCATCCTTACTATATTATTTTGAAGACAATTGTATACAATTCATTAAATCAAAATGATTCAGATCATTTAACTATAACTTAACTTTTGATCAAAGATGAATAAAACTTACTTTGAATCATTTAAGACACACATTTGGGAATATCCCACATTAACAATATTATTGCAACGCCTAGTCTCCATGTGTGCTTGAGTTGGCAAGAATGACTTCATGATTTACACCACCAAAAAAAAACTCATCAGAATCACCCAACAAGGGGCCTAGAGCTGTCCCATGTAGACATAACACATGATTCTCTCATCTTTGGTCCTAGCTATCACACTTTCAATATCATCAGCTTGCTTCCCTGATATATATGCATGTACACAAACTTACTCATGCACCCCAAACTCTCGCCCAAGAGAGATGGAAAATCGCAGGAAAGTCTAGCTCTGGTGAGATATTCTCCTTCCCTGGCACCCCAATCAAGACCAAGATTCCGACTTCGAATTCGGGTGTTTTTACCCCGGATTCACCTTCTCAGGCTCCATATAGAACCTCACCAGCTGATCATCTTTTCTTCAATGGCCGACTTTTGCCACATGCCTTTCCTTTCCAACCTGCAACAATGGTTGCAGCTGATTGTCTCGGGGGACAAGGCAGAACAAGCAGCATCAGACAAGCAAGGATTCATTGATGTCTCAAGAAGTAACAGCACTAACAGCAGAAGAAGTTGCAGCAGTGCTAGAACAAGCTCGGAGTGACAATCAAAGGGGAGGACTGTTGTACCATAGCAAAATCCACGCATATAATAAACCAAGCAAAATGGTGCTATATGGGATTCTCAGAGATGGCAGTACATTACACCAATGCCTGTTCTGAAACGTAAGGTCTCCAAGAGAAAAAACAATGGGGTTGGTGAAAAGAAGCCTTGAGAGCTAAGAAACAAGGTGATCATCATCAAGAAAAGAGTACCACTAGGGGGAAGATCGGGCCTTGCCTGAGATTTTTCAAGTTATTTTTGTTGGCCGGTAGAGAATGTCATGCCATGGAACCTTCCAGGAAACAAGATGTGGTGCAAGGAAATTTGAGTGTTGGATAATTTATGACTGCATATTATTCTCTTTTTTTAATATTTTTCCAAACTTTTCTTGTTTATGTTGGTTTTGTGCTATGAGCATCATTTGTTTGGAATTTTGGTACAATTTTTCTTGCCAAGTGGAAAAAGAAAAACATTGAAGATATGATATCAGGGAAAAGATATGAATAATACTGCATTCTTGCTGGTTTCTCCATGATTTTGGTATCATTAAAATGTTGTGGAAATTCATTGCAAGATTCTAGGATTATCCAGGGATTTGTAATCTGCTGCAGACCTGCAACGGGCTGATATTTTGTTCAAAGGAAGATTGGGGAGTGTCCAAGAGTGTCATGTTTCATTTATAAAAAGCATACTTAATAGCACTATATGCCAATCTGCACCAGCATAATTTGGCTCTTAACAAGCTTAAAATTATTAGAAATTGGAAAGTAGAGATCACCTTAAGCCCTTTTGAACAATCAAGCTGCTAATCTCTTTTGTAAAAAGAAATGGATTATTTAGATTTCAAGTATATGAAAATACAGGTTTAGTTTCTTGCTTGTAAACTAAAACATTTAAGGTGGCTGTAAGACCTAGCATCAAACAAATTTAGGTTTGTTTTTTTTTTTTTCCTTTTTAAGACATAAAACATTCATTTTCATAGTGATACATGTAGAAAAATAATATCGATTTTCTTTTTTTTTTTCCTCAATTATACTTCTTGTTTAGACAAAACCATTAAGATCTTCAATGTTTTCTCTGCAAGAATCTCATGCTTGGTACCGAAGCAACCATAGGCCAAGCTAACATTGTATATTGAAAATTTGCATTGCCCAACATTTTCTTTAATTTCAAATGAATCTTGCTGACTTGCCTTGGATCCATGAACGCATTCCCCCTAGAATTTCATTGAAAATCCTGATGCTTGTGAGTGCAGCATTTGCAGCTTTTGAACAACAGTAAAGAGACATTATTCTAGTTCAAATTTTAGGGTGAATGTTCAAAGGAAACCTAAAGGGCAAATCTTATGTTAGAAAAAACTACAACAACTGATTAGAAAGTTCGGTTTAATGGATTAAAGAGACAGATGTAAAAGGACATTAAAACAAACATAGGAATTTCAGCAACCAAGGAACACAACCTTGGACTACAAACAAATTCTCATCCTATTGTCCCTCTAATACAAACCTTCTAAATTTCATTCCAAGAAGTTTGGCATAACATCGGTGTACATCCCTGCCTCGTTGTTCCTATACTCCACAGGTTGATGTTGGCGATGCTCTATTGATGTCGAAGATGAAGATGTAGCCATTCTTGCAGGTAATGTAAAGCTCCTCTTAAACTTGTTTTCCATCTTCCTAATGTTCTCTGGATGACTGTCGAAGCTCAAGAACTCGTTGGGGTTTGCACCAGCATCTGGATTTTGATTAGAATCTTTTCCTTCAAGAATAAGTGGATGGTGGTTTTGGTCTGGTTTGTTTCTTAAGCTCTCCGGGTTAAATAAAAGCTTGGCATCTTCAGTTCGTCCAGCGAGAGCATTGAAGAAAGTTAACCCATTAGGCCATTTTACGTCATTTTCATGCTCACCAATCATATCTTCCATTCGGGTTTCAGATGAATGAGGCAGGAGAAACATGTGGGTCTCATCTTTGGCCTGCGGAAATCCAAGTCTACCCGGGTTCTGAAAATTAGGTGAAGCAAGCATTGGAGTCGCTGGTGGAAGCTGCCTCTGGTTCCAGTTGAAGAGAGGAGGAGGAGGCCGGGTTGGAATGGCAGACTGCTTCGAAGGCATTGTAGACGAAGAGGAACTGTTTCTGTTTGACGAAAACAACTGAGAGAGATAGAAACCAGATTGATAGCCAAGAGATTCAAAGGTATGCCTCATTCTTAGCACAACATGGAGGTCTTCAGGTATCTGAAGATACACACAGCATCTCTATGAGATCAAAATCATCATAAATTTCAGCTACAATAACCATTCACTAACCGAAGACCTGACTTTGATCTTGAAAATCAACCGTAAAACACCCGTAAATTAAATTTTCAAAAGCTACTTTATTGTCAACTAAACAACTAGTAATTAGAAAATTTTGTTATCAGACTCACAATCTTGCAGGAACCCAACTGGAGAAGACCATGACCAGCTTGAATCACAGCAATAGTCTAGTCAAGAGAAATCAAGAATCACCAAAGTCTCAATGACTAGACAAACAAGGGGAAAAATCAAACCAGAATACGACTAACAACAGTGAAAAATAAGTTGTTTCTACGCTGACCTGAATGCCTGACTCAAATTGATCAGTCCATTCAGGAGGAAGCTGCAATTAAATAACAACAAAAGGGGAAAGGTTACCATCAATCATAAATATACACCATCTAACCAAATAACAAAAGCCACAGTATAATTGTCATCATATACTTGATCATTGAACCCAAACTTCTTTTTTTATAGGTTACCAGAAAACTAAGAATCCAACGTTCTACGGACACCACTCGGCTGTTGGCCATTGAACCCAAACTTCAAAAGAGGGTAAACAATTGAAATTAAAAAAATATATAGTGAAAAAGGAGGAGTATATGGCATACAGCATCAAAAGAACTCTGCCAATAATTGGAGATATTGGGTTCGCAGTCTGTTGGTTCTTTGAATACCCATTTATGGCACTTATCTGATGCAACCTTTCCCATTAACCTGTTCTTAAAGTCAAATTTCAACCAATCAAAAACACATACCAAGAAATAAACAAAAAAATTTTTTTCTTTCCATTTATTTTTCAACCAAAAATAAAAATTATTAACACCTACCCAGTACCCACCCTTCTCCATAATTATATAACTGAATGGACATTTTGCTGAAAGCTTTCCTCACTGGATCTTCTCCATCAATCTCTTCCAAACAATCTGTAACTCTTCCTCGGCAGAATCCATCTTCCCACATCAACATCCTTCACAAAATATTTTCAATAGAAAAAAAAATTACCACAAAATTCAACATAAATTTGCTAAATTTAAAAATGAAAATGCCTATAAATAAGAAATTAACAAAAACCCATTTCATAAAATCAATTACTAACTCAAATTTCGCTCAATATCTCCCCATCTCTCATTAACCAAACTTTTCTCTCCTGTTTCTGAATGGAAACAAGTAATGTATAGCTTTTTTATTGGTGAAATTGAAACAAGTGTAAAGAAAAAATGATAAATAAGACAAACTATCCCATTCACTTAATGGTCAAAAGTTCAGAACACTTGAACCCTGTTTCTCCTTCATTTTCCTCTGTTTTCCCAGGAACCAAACAAAGAAAAAAAAAAGTCAAAGGCTAAAAAACACCAAGCATACTTACAAGCTGCCATTATCATCTCCAACCTTGCAACCATTACCACCCCTCACTCTCCTACAGCAAAACAAAGAAACCCAAATAAGTAAAACATCTGAAAAAACACACAACTTGAAGATGGAAGCTTTTGTTTGAGATAAGCATATAAATACAAAGAAAATAAAAGTCGAAGATTTGAAGGGATGAACAAAAAAGAACATACGGGCGAGGACGGATGGTCCAGAAGACAGAGTAAGTCCAGTCTGAGTTGAGACAGACATTTCTAAGTGCCTCATGAAGGGCCAGCATCCCAACAGCTTCTTTGCTCCTATCTGCTGATCCTGAGCCCACCATCTCTCTGTCTCTCTCCCTCCCTGTCTCTCTCGATATATATAAGTGTTTATATTTATATGTAAGAAATTATATGTATTCCTTTTTTTCCCCTTTCTCTGATGCAAGCAACTCCCTTTGAAACACTGCTACTGCCTTTGCCACTTCTCCTGCGATTATAAACTTGGTAAGATGGCCTGTAGCTTATTTATTTTGTGTGTACCTTCTTTTTCATTTCTCTCTCTCTTTCTTTTTTTTTTTATCTCTCTTTGTTTTGACAATCACTGCTTTTCTTTCTCTGGTTATCAACCACAAAGCAAAAGTATTTTCTTCTCTTTCACTCTCTCTCTCCCTCTTTATCTTTACTGCTATTTCTTTCGTTTGTTCTCAACCGTGTCAGCTTCTCTTATATCAATACATATAAAATATTATATTTATATTATATTTTATATAAAAATAACGTATTATATATTTTTATAAAAATATAAAATATAATTTTTTTATTTTATTAAATTTATTTATAATTTTTTTAAAATTTTAAGTTAAGTTATTTTTAAAATTTTTATTTATATTATTTTTATATCATATTATTATATTATATTTTAAATTATTAAATTTAAATGAAAGTGTAAAAGGGACAGCTTGAAATTTCAAATTATACGTGGGAGTATTTGTTAAAAAATTTTAATAATTTTAAATATAATGTAATAATATAATCTAAAAATTATATATATGATAAAAATTTAAAAATATATTTTTTTATATTTATATTTTAATATAAATTATAATACTATAATTTTAATATAAATTAAACACGATTTTAATGCATAAATTATTAAATCTAATTGTAAGAGAGAGTTAGGTATCTTTGTAGAGTTTGGTTGGCTCTTAACTTGTTTTTGTTTTGTTGTAAAACTTGTGAACTAGCTAGTGTGTGTGTTCCTCTTATCAACATTTTTGTTTTGGAGCTATATAACTCTTTTTCTACCTTTTTGTTTTGGGGCTATGGAACTTTTTCCTACCACTTTTGTTTTGTTTTGATTTGGGTTTGAAATTTTTGGGAAAAAAAAAGCATAAAAAATTTCTAACTCTTTATGTTTAGTAAGATTGAAACTAGATTCATGAGATTATCACAAAATTTTGATTTGATTGGTTCATGAAAGATTATAATTAAATCATATCAAAATTTCATAAAAAAAAAATTTGTAAAATAAAATTTCCAATTACACTTACATGATATGAAATTTGTTACATAGGTGAATCATATTGATACATAAATAAAAGAATTGCAATTTGCTATAATTATAAAGATGAATTTCTTTATTCTTAGTTTATTTCATAAGAATGTCTACAATATTGAAATTTTGTGAAAAACTTTTTGTTTTCTTTTTTTTTTTTCTTCAATATGATTGAAAGTTGATACAAGCTAAAAGAGAGTTTTGGTGAGAACATGTTTGATTTTTATATTTTTTTTTTTTGAGATAATTTGTTTATCATTGTATGATTTGGCTAACAAAAGTGAATGCAATGATGAAATAAAATGGTGAAACGAAATGGGGTCATGATTTGGATTTTGTGAATTGTGATGATAATAAAGGCACAAAAACAAAACAAAAAAATCACCTTTTTCCCTAAAATAGATCATAAAAATAAAAATAAAATGAAATGATTTTATTGATAAATTTATGAAAATTTACCAATGATTTAATTATTCATTTTACTTCATTGGATGTATTATACAAATTAAAGCCAAATTTCTCTCAACTTTTTCTAACTTACACACCAAAAATCATATAAAAAATCATATATTCTTGTTTATATGGAATTTCAAGTTAAGAGGTAAAATTCTAAAATTATTAAAAAAAAAAAAAGAGAACTATCAAAAGTAAAGATAAATAGTATTTTCTATATTTGTATTTTAACATTTAAAATTATAAATCAAATATAAAAAATTAAAAAGAGAGTAAAAAATAATAAAATAAAACAAATATATAATACTTGAATAATTTTATTTATAAATGAAAGTTCAAAAATTTTAAAAATAAATTAATAACATGATCAAATTAATATAATATTAAATATGTAAAATCGATTTTATACATTAGTTTGATCTAAAAATTAAAAAAATTATTATTTATTAACAATTTTTAACAAAAAATTTTTTTTATTTTTTTAACTTAAAAATACTCTTAAAAAATCCAAATAAAGATTTTGACATGCAAGTACTAAATATCTTTAATCATCATTAAATAAAGATAAAATTCAATAACCTCTGCGCCTTTTTGTATTAAATTGGCTTAATTATTCACCTGAAAAATTAATATTTTATTATTGTTTTATTTATTATTTTTTATAAAAGATTGTAAGTAGGAGCAGGGGGGATGGCACAGAATCTTAACTGGTAAAAAGTGACGAGAGAGGAGGTGATGTGCCGAGGATTCGATTTAGATTAATAATAGTAATTTAATAGTGAATATGATAATGTTATTATGTCAGATTGCAAGGACAAGGCTTATTCCTGTCATCATCAAAATTTTGTACGGCTGTAGATTAAATTAACTACCCATTTGAGCGCCACTTTGCTTTTGAGTTTTATTTTTTAAAATTTTGTTTAGATTTGATAATTTAAATATAGTAATGTAGTATAAAAATAATATAAAATAAAAATATAAAGATGATATATTCAAAATTTTAGTAAAAATATATATAAATTTAATAAAATAAAAAGAACACATTTTATTTTTAAAAAATTATAATACATAATTTTTATATAAATTATAATAAAAATACATAAATTATTAATATTTTATATAAATTCATAAATTGTTAAATCTATCTTAACTTACTTTCTAGCAAAACCATTTCAATAACTCAAATTGCTCCTTTATTTTTTGCATAATTTTGGCTTTCATTAAAAAGTACCATTTCAAAGAAAAAATAAATCACCAATTTACCAATTTAATTTTTTTTTCAACATAATAATTATTTGATCACCTTATAAAATATTAAAATTTTAATTTTAATAATTAAATTTTAATTTTGATAATTTCAAATACCCAAAAGGTTTTTCCATCCATTTTTCCTTTTTATAAATAATTTAGGTATAGATTTTGTGAATAACATTATATAATCATCAAATAACCTCAAAACAAAAAATTAATTTTAAAAAAGTTACACTAAGAGAAAAAAAAATCTTAAATAATGGGAAATATATAAGGGTGGAAACGTCTTTCAAAAAGTGTGGAAAAAGGGAGAGTAGGGAGTGCTCATATGAAATAGGAACACAGCAAAGTAATTATTAAATTAAATAGATTTTAAACAGAGTTTAATATAAAAGAAAAAATAACCCAAGAAAGGCGTGTGACTGAGAAAGAGACTGAGAGATTAAGGGGTCACGTGCGCACGTGACATCTGCAGTGAGTCGGTGCATCGGTTTCATAAAGAAAAGTGGACGCACGAATTGCGGGGCACTGCGTCCCCGACCTTCGAATCCTTCCGTACACCAACACGCGCTTTTTTCTCCCACGCACCATTAGGAAAAATTTTTCTACTACTTACTATTTTTCATATAAAATTTGTATGAAAATAAAAAATATTTTTTTTATAAATAATATACGTTATTAATTCCAATTAATTGATTTGAATTAATATGAAATCTCATATAAATTATGCATATATATATATATATATCTAAACTTTTCAAACTTAAAAAGCTTATCCAATGCAAAATGTTGGACCCCACTTATCTAAGAAATCAAGCATGAGATGCCTATGACTTAGCACTCGCATGGACAATGAATAATATTTATATTATTTTTAGGTATAAGATTCAAAATTGATTAATTTAAGTTAACATGAAATTTAATATATATATTATATTACAACATACATGATCACATGATTAAAATTGTTTATATAGATTCCTAGATAGATAATCTATTTTAATTACATATAGAATAATATTTATATTATTTTATTTATTAAATAAATTTTTTAATAAATTATTTAAATTAAAATCAATATCTATTTAATATTGAAATTTTTACATAAGATTTGAATTCAAATATATTATATCTTAATTTATCTTTTCTTTTTAAATTTAATTGTAGTTTCAAATATATATACTTAATAAAATTTTATTTTCTGTCAAATAATTTTATTTAATAAATTATTTAAATTTAATATTTTTAGATAATAATTTAAATTCAAATCAAAATCTATTAAAAATTAAAATTTATTTAATAGATTATTTAAATTTAATACTTTTAAATAAGGTAATGAATTATTGACTAAAAAGCATGTTTTTTTTAAGTAATAAAAGCTTACATCTTTATATGAAAATATAAGACATTTAAATATTGATAAAAAGTTGGATAAAAATATGTTTTTGCCTTGAAAACAAATATAATGTTTTATTTATGTTCTAATTCAAATATTTCTATATTATATATTTGGTTAATTTATTTGTTTCTCTTTAGTTCATAACTTTTTTTTAATTTTGCTTAGATTGATTATAATTAACTTTTTGTATTATATATTTTTTTGTTTTATTTATTTCTTTAATATTTTTATTCTATGTTAATTTATTAATATATTTGTTTTTAGTATTGTATATATTTAATATTGACAAATTAATATGTAAATTAATATTCTTTATTTTCTTTTGCTATATTTTTTATTATTGAATTTTTTTATCTGCAATGGATGATATGAGAAAAATGATAATCACTATCATATCTATTTCACAAAAAATACTATCAATTATGTTAAAAATGATTAAAAATAAAAAAACATATTTCAAAAAAAGTTTTTCAGCATAACATAAAGAATTATTGTTTCCCTTTTATCTAAAAAATTATTTTATTAACATATATAGAAATAATTATTAGCCCAATATATTTGTGTAATAATTACTTGAAATATGTCAAAAATAAGAACTAATAAAAAGTAAATGATTATAACAAAATTAATAATTGTGATTTGTTGTTCAGTCAAATATATATATACACACACCACCTAATTAACATTATGATAAAAATAATTATTAATTTTAACTATTTAAATATTAATTTTTGATTTTTTATCAAACAAGAAAAAAGTGGTAGTAAAATTTGTAGTATTACAAATAAATTGAAGAAAATATTTTTTAATGAAAAAAAAAATTTATAATTTTTGAAAATTTACAAAAGTTTAGACTTCTTTTAGATGAATAATATCATTTATAATATATTATGTATAAATAATCATTTAATTATAACTTAACATTTATAAATATATGATTATATATTAGATAAATAATTAAAAAATAAATTTAAAATTATGAAAAATTTAATAAAAATTCTGTACATTATACGGATTTAAAAAGCTAGTTTCATATAAATTACATCTAACACATCC